TTTCCATACTTACAAGAGAGTGGTGGTTCTTGTGTTTCTCCAGATGTTTAACTTCCTTCTCCAGCCGTTTGACTTTGTCTTTCATCTTCTTGTGCTCTCCTAACAGCTCTCCAGCCTTCATGAGTAGCTCTCGAGGAGTCTTCGCTGTTAAACCAATCTACAACAAGCACAAGACATTCAGAGCGGAAAAACGTAATAAGCATGCGCGGGTTTTGACCGCGCGCAAGGATCCAAGATTGAAAAATAAAATGGCGGGAATTTTGTCGATCGTCAGTGTAAACAAAAAAAGGTTGCGAAATTTATACGTTTTCCAAATTTTCCGGTAAGTAGCAACATTCTCTCGTCACTAATGGAAAGCTGGTGTAATGTTTTCGTGGGCAATCAATTTTTTTCGGACAAGATTAACATGATTAAGCTTTTCCGAACCCTTTATTTCCCCCCGCCGTAGAAGAAATTTCGGTGTGAAGGCACATGTTTTCCACACACATTTTTACATATTGCATCCATAAAAGTACACCACTTAATATTTAAGCAAGAGAGCCTCCCAGCAGGTAGGGGAAGTCTAGTTTTCTAAACAGTGAAATGCCGAAAAAAATTCATGTTTGCCCAGGTATGAAAAAATCAACCGAGCGACATCCTCACGGTTCTTAGTACAGTCGGCCGATCTCTCCGCCATGACAACCCCTCTTGCCTGAGCCCGCAAGAAGGAATGCGCAGAAAGAAGCGCAGTACGTTTTCCGCTCTGAAGCACAGACACTGATGATCAAATCGGAATCACGGTCGATGGAGTTGTCATAAACGTCGAATCTTGAAATCCGTCTCAATCTCAACCATCTTTTTTCCATTTTAGTTTGTTTCCTCTACGTCATCAGTGTTAAGCCCAGGTGAAACGTCGAACTTCACCTGAGACGAACTAAATTGCTATTTGAATTGATCCAAACGGTTAGAGCTTCACCGTTAAGTCAAACGATCGACCAACACATTCTATCCTTCTGATTCACACGGATAGAACGCGTTGGTCGATCTAAATTTAGTCGGACGAACTCAGTTGAGTCAAATGTCGAACTTATCATGAACTTCATTCGCTCAGTTTAGTTCGTCTCGTGTGAAGTTCGACGTTTGACCAGGGCCTTGGCGAACTGCGTTTCGCGGTTTCCTTCGCTTTGATTCAAAAGCTCATTCAACCAAACCATCACATCAGCAAAATAAGAATTTAGCACAGGCATACTAGTAATGGATAGACTAGTATTAGATCTACCAACCTCGTTCATACGTAATTGAAGATTTCCTAAAGCTTCCTTTTGTAACGAATCAACATGGTGTTCTGCTTGACTAACTTTTCCCATCAATTCTTTCTTCCTTGCCTGAAAAGTAGACGCTCTTATTGTAAGACTGTTGCAAAGATGTAAGTAACAAAATTTCGGAGACGTGGGGATGCATTTTCTTAAATTTAACATGAGTTATGGACGTTTCGCTACTGTAGTAAAGGTCCGGTATTCTTCGATTGTTTGCTTTTCAATTAAATACGTTTTACTTCAATTTTTTTCGCAAAATGTAACAATGATACATAAATAACAGCCTCCATTTGGCGTGAAAATATATAAACGATAGCCTCCATTTGACGCGGAAATATCCTCGGATATTTGTCCGCGGACATTATCTGTTCCGAGAAGCGAACAGTTTTCCGAGAGCGTAGCTCGAGGAAAACTGTGAGCTCTGAGGAACGGATAAAGTACAAGGACANAAATTTTTTCGCAACAGTGCGGTTTTTAAAATTGGGGAATATCACTCGGATATTTCCCAGTTTTAACTGGGGAATATTCAGTCACGTGAGGCGTGCGCGAGCGAAAATATTTGATGGATTATAAGCTCGGATATTTGTCTGCGGGCATGATCTGTTCCGAGAAGGAAACAGTTTTCCGAGAGCGCAGCCCAAGGAAAACTGTGTGTTTCGAGGAACAGATCTAAGGACAACATTTTATATTCGAGCATATTTTTAAAGTCAAATGGAGGCTATGGTGTTTTTTATCTGTGAAATATTTTTCGAAGCAGGTACAGTTTCGAAAACTGGGAAATACCATTCGGATATTCCCCAGTTTTAGCTGGAGAATATTCAGGCATGCAAGCGAAAATATTTAATAGATTATAACACGTAATATCTATCTTAATGTACAATGACCATTTCTTTAATTTTAACATTGTTATACAAATTATTTACCTTCTGCTCCTCAATCTGTCTCTTGAGATTTTCTTTGTATTCAGATGAATGCATGTGACAAATGAAGTGAAGAAACTGGTAACGGTAAACATCTGAAAACAAGGACAGAAAGATGGCATCTAATAAATCACTGCTTTGAATAAATTACCGTGTATCAGTACTGCAAAATTACTATATGCACATGAACCCTGTAATAACTACTACAATAGGCTCGATTTCCACCCTGCACTCAAGTCTGGTCTATGTTGCTACTTGGGAGGGAGTGCTGGCTCCTTTCTCGAGCAGCGGCTGGTAATCAAGCCTACTACTACAACAACATACATAAACAAACATTTTGAAATCATTTTTTTCCCATTTACTTCAAATATGTCATTAGAAATGCCTCATTCTTTTATGTTCCTTTAAAACACCATAAAAAATCATGAAACCTTAAAGTAATAATCGGCAAATAGCACTAGCATCCATCCATATAATTCTCTGTTGGTAAGGTAAGCCTACATGGCTCACAACTCTGATTTCTGTAGCATGAAGTGACCACTTATACATTTGATGAGACAGAGGCACTGTGAGAGTAAAGAACACCTGGCCTGGGCTGGAACCTGGAATGCTCGATCCAAGGTCTTCTGCACTAACCATTAGGCCACTACCCCGCACTAACTCTCTCTTATGTAGGTTTCTTGAATTTTACAGCCATGCTATCTTGCCTTACCCATAAGCTGTTCCAGGGCAGGGAAGCACTGCTCTATACTGAAGCTGTTAAGTATGGGTGGTGGAGATGCTGACGAAATTCTCATTCCATGGCTCTGGCCACTCCTCTTTCGAAGGCTCTGAAGATACATATTACAAGAGAGCTTAGAATGGTTAAGAAAGAAGTGGGAAGGACGAGTAAACTCCTGGATGTATAGAAAAACTATGAGAATATGTCTTGTTCAAGAAAACAATACAAGGATCGCAGCCTTCAGACAGGAAATTGGGTTTGATAGGGCTCCTTCCCTGAGCAGCAGCTGGTTATCAAGCCTAAAAAGAAACTTGCTATCATAACAGTGATCATGACTGGGCAATGTCATGTGATGCCTGACTCAACATCAGAATCAGCTCCCAGGGGGGGACTCCCATATAAAAAGGACGGGGTTGCTCGTCACAAATTTTGAAAAGAACCCCTAAGAGGTGCCATGATCCTATTTTGTGGGTGTGGCTTGAAATGTTTTCACCTCTAAGAGGTATCAATTCTAAAACAACACATTAACTGATACTTGTAAAGTTTATTATCAAATATCTCCTGTCATATTTTTTTCCGGCTCAACACCATAAAAGGTATCATGAAACCTCCTACTGTGGACTATGGGGCTGAACACCCTAAGAGTTACAAAAACCACTTTTTTAATCCCTGAAAGGTTTGTCAAGCACCCTGTCCTTTTACATGGAAGTCTCCCCCTGGGAATAAGCTATGCTTTGTGTAGCCCTTTGACATCTCAGAAGGTTCAACATCACATACCTGTAAAGCAGCTACTGTTGCATTTTCCAAGGCTGTCACAGCAAGAGAGTCCCTCTGTCTTTTTTCACTTGCTTTGGATGTCTGCTTTGTTCTCACCTTTGTCATGGAATTTTTCTTAGGTCTTGGCTTTTGTTTTCCTTTTCCTTTGCTATTCTTCACACCCTTTTTCAGTTTCTGGGCTTTTTTGTTTTGCTGCTTCTGGTATTTCTTTCTAACCTTCTGTGCAAATGATGGTTGCCGTCCCTAAGAACAAAAAAATAAACAGTATAATTAGATTGTGTACTGTACAACTAAAGGCCTTTCAACTTATAAAATGAAACCTAACTGGTCTGTAAAACAGTTTGAGCTAAATAGTGTTGGATCCAAAATCTTCAACATCATCAGCTCTTTAAGCTCTGAGTGGGGCAAGAGGTTGGGGGGGGGGGGGGTGTGGAAGTGATTTCCAGTAATTTTTAAATGAACCCTCTTCACGGTACAGTTCCAGAATGTACCTGTCCTTGGCTTGAGTTTGTGAACCTAATCCTAAATGGCCACCAGTTCTGATTGTGGATTATCTGCTAAGGCAGGAGAGGGTACATGCATGTTACTTTACACTACAAGAAAACAGGCGACATCATACACTAATTTCAAGAACTAAACTTTCAGGCCAAATAATGCATCCAATTTTACGCAAACAGGGTCTCATGTACAGCTAAGCAATTGCTGTACTTACCTTAGCCCCGCCCTTCTGTTCTTGTCCTACAGAAAGTATGTCACTGTTCTGTTCTTGTAGCACAATCTTGGAGTTATTGTTTCTCTTCCGGTTTCTACTCCCACTTTTATTTGCCTTGTTAGTAGCCTCAATTTGGTTGATGAGCTGGTTCCATTGGTGTCTGGTCGAGACTCCAAAGAGAACGTCATCCAGTTCTTCAAAGTTTGGAATGCTTGCCATTGAGTCACTTAAGCTGCTCGTGTCACTGTAGTCTCGGCCCTCCTAAAAAGATGTAAGACCAGAGCTTATAGTTTCTGACAAAAAATAACATTTTGTTATTAACTGGTTCTAAAGTCCTGCAGATAGTCAGTTTTGTTTTCCTAGGAACCTTTTTATTACTCTAAGAAAATGTTGAGATCCTAAAGAAAGTTAAACTAGCTACATGTAGTTTCTCCAAAGAACTGGTCACCACATTTAAGTTCTGTAAGTCTCAGTTATTTCAAAATCTGTTGGTCAACAGTAAAATTGAGACCTATTTTTTACGCCATAAACGCCAATACAAAGCCATTTGAACCACCGTGAAAATAGAAGGAAATTAAGCGAAAGCATTTGGATATAAATTAAACTGTTAAAAAATTGACACCACTTTTGTAACCAAATATGTTTATTCGAGGTTACTGATGGACTGCGTGTTCTGAGAATATAATGTTCAGTTACAGAAAATATCCATACTCCCCCCACAGAAGGGATTGGAATTTCCTGGGGGTGGGGAGTTCTGTAAGACCAAAAATTTATAGAAATGTATGAGGATCAATTGGAATTTTCAGAGGGGTGGAGGGGACTTAGAAAAATTCCCTTCCGTGGGGGAGGTATGAATATTTTCTGAAACTACACATTTATGTCTCACTCACTGCAAATGTAAATGTACTTGCTTCTCAATGACTAAAAATATCATATCATTTATATGCATTTAAAGTGTAAATATTGTAAAAAAACTAACCTTTCTTCTCTTGAGGTCAGCAAAATATTGCTCGAGCTGAAGGGAAAAAATGTTAATAATTACGCGAGTGCATAGTTAAATTCAGATGATTTTTCTCACTGAAATTCCTAGTATGTCGAACTAAGCACGTGCTCTCAAATTGTGTCTACAGGTTGTTTACACATAGTGACATTACAACACAATGCATAGCTGCAGCTGGACTTAAACTTCTCAGACTCATTAATAATTCATCAAGTTTAAACAAATGAAATCATGACTGTGACAATGTTTGGATATCTGATCTTACTTAGCATAGATTTTTATGATTTTATTTCTCCATTTTCTCCTTTGTTTTAGTTTTGATTGAGAAGATATATTAAACACTCAAGACAGTGTTTGATCATATTTCCAAACACTTCAAACTTCGTCAAAAATACTCTGCTGCACGTCGTATTTTCAACTCTCTTCTCAATGTTTGGAAACATGGTCAAACATGGTCTTCCGTGTTTGATATATTACATCTAAGATCAAGATTTGGTCCAATAATGCACAAACCACTTGGCCACTCTTCCTACACGTATATACTTAATTTGGCGGTCCTTCAGTATAGGTAGAACAATTTACACTGTACTCACTAAAGTCCTGTCAATGACATGGACAAAATATGAGACTGGTTTTCCTGTCCATGATACTGCACGTCCACTGGGCTTGAGCTCAGAAACACGTAGTATAGTGCCGATATCTAAAAAGCCAAACAGAAAAATTGGCATATCTGCTTGTGAGAATGCTTTGAAAGAAATACAGTAAGAACAGGAACAATAAAATTATTCTTATGCTAGAATGGATGCATGAGAAAGAAGCTCCTGGTTGGCAAATCCAATCTAAAAACGTAAAATCTCCTTACTGATTGTCATACAGTCTTTTACAAATAAGCGCTGAGCATTTGCTGATACATCAAAAAAGTACCTCCCAGCTGATAATTTCATTTCCTATATCACCTGTCTGCTTTACAATATTGAGTTTAAGAATCCATGACGGCAATGCCAAGGACAACATCAATTAAAAAAAAAATTTATATTTTACCTACGAATCTCATGGTCATCACATGATCAAAGTTCCTAGCTCTCCTCTGGGAGTTGTGGTACTCTAAAGTCATTTACTTTGTTTATCACTGTCAAAACTATTACAAAACTAAAGGTGGAACACAGTGATAAACTTGGAATAGAAGTTTAAAAAAATTAGCCATTGTGGTTCAAGTTCTCCAGACAATGCAGAATTTCGTCACATCACAATGTTGTTTTGCAAAGGACAGCAAAGAAATATACTGCACTAAAATGCACTTGTACAGCCACTGTCCTGCTCATTAAATGTTTTGCTTCGCAACATCCTTTTGGCATTGCCATCATGGTTTTCTTAAACTCCCTATTGCATTAATCACGAGAGAAATCAGATGTCTTTGGCTCACCTGATAAATTACGAGAAGTGGTTCTGAAGTTTAGTGAACAAAATGCTTTGGATGAAATGATCTTGGCACCTGCAACATACAAGTACAAGTTAGCATTACAGCATCATGCTCCTGTTATCATTGATACCACTTAATGGAGATGCTAACCTAAAAAATTGGAAATCCAGGAGATCATTAATTTTACTTCCTTGGCCCTAAGAAAAGTTGTTCAAAGTAGAGCTCACAGTCTTGCTTTTTTAAAAAGCTAAGATAGGGTCTCAAGTTTTTTTTTTACAAGGCTAAGAAAGTCTTGATGTCCTGATAAGTCTTGAAGTCCTGAGTTGCTCCAATGTTTGCTTTTATAAGTGACGTCTGCACGTCTCTTATGCTTGTGTTTATAACACTCAGAAGTCTCAATCTTGCAATTTCAAAAGTCAAATTGTTTCAGGCTTGCAAAGAAAATGCCAGCCTTGCCTTCTCGCAGTCTTGCATTTATCGTTCACCAATTCTAACTATGTTTCCCCTTCCTCCACTAGATTAAGTGGTGTTCATTCAGATGAAAAAAACAAATCTGAATTGATTATGAAGTTGAAGTTGCTCGAAAAAAGTGTCGGTCAGCAGTGGAACATTGAACTGTACAAAGGACAACATTGTAAGGAAAAGAACATCCAGTCTGACTGTAACTTTACCATGAGGTGATGGCTTCGGATTGCCAACACAAACGATTATGCTCATAAAACCATTCCATTCCAGTCTCTATTTAAACATACCTTCTCTCATAGAGGCAAATCGTTCCTTCAGTTTGTGGTCCACTCCTGGTCCAAATGCAAAATTGTTGACAAACACAATTCTGTAGGAAACAGACAGAAATTAATTCATGGCACACTGGTGTAATTATTACAGTTCTGGACTGCAACATTGAATCCACAAGCCTAAGATATCATTAATAAAATTAATAAAATTTGATAAAAATAGTTTAAACAAGCTTCTGAAATAAATCTAGGCTATTTGCATCTCTTGTAGACTCTGGGAGAGTGTTCCACTCATGTATCGCATGACACAACAGTCTTTGCTGCCCCCCACTTGGGTAAGGCAAATAATTTATTGCAGGAAACCAATGAAAAGTTGAGGGGTAGGTAATGATGGATGTATATTTACTGGTCTTCCCCTGAACCAAACCACTGTACGCAAATACACCAACGATAACAGAACATTGTGGATATCAGAGTTCAATACTCACCCTGCAGACTGTATCTTTTCTCTCATCTTGTTGTCAAGGAAATCACCTTTTTCAAGCTGTCAACAGTAAAATAATATTTTCATTTAAGTTATAGTGAAGTCTGATAGTTTACAATCAAATCAACACTATTTGAGAGTAAGAAGAGGCTGCTAATTTTTCAACAGAGATCTTACATATGTCACAGTCCTCACTACGTTATCATGTTAAGGGAGCCAATTTTGGCATCACACAGGTCTTCTTTATCACATAGTAGGTACATAAGTAAAGTCTGCATGCAAGCCAAGCAGCCCATCAGGCCCAAGCTTTTCCTGGTTTCTGTAGCCTGAAGTGACTAGGAATATTTCTACTCCCCCCTGGATGGAATGGTAGTCCATTGCAGGGTTACCCCCAGCATTTGTCACACAGTGAGGTTCCACATTTCAGGGTTATTTTGCCCACCTTGTAAGGATTGTGAGTTTTGCCAAACCAGCGCATCCATTTACGAAATTCTCTATCCATATCCTAAAAAATGAAACATGGTAGCAAAATTAATATAATAAAAAATAATAATGGGCAAAAACAGACAGACAGAGAACACTTGTGTTATAAAAATGTCAACTCATGAATCTATAACTTAAACAAATTACATGTCTTACTGGCCACAAAGTCTGAGTCAGGCCAGCGGCCTCTATAGCTAGAGTGACTAGGAGCATTTCTCCTACCCCTGGTTGGGATGTTTGTCTATCACAGGGTTACCTCCCAGCATTTAATTTGCTGGTACCCATATAAACACCCGGTGGAGAGAGACACTGTGAATGAGAGTAAAGTGTCTTGCCCAACACATGCAATAATAGATGTCTTTCAAAATGTCCTGATAAAAAAATAACCAATCTCCTACCCAGAACCTGCCTGTCTCTCGGTCAACACCAAGAACAGACTCTAACCAAGTCCGACATGGAAGTCAGANGTCTCAATCTTGCAATTTCAAAAGTCAAATTGTTTCAGGCTTGCAAAGAAAATGCCAGCCTTGCCTTCTCACAGTCTTGCATTTATCGTTCACCAACCCTAATTATTTTTCCCCTCCCTCCACTAGATTAAGTGGTGTTAATTCAGATGAAAATGAAACTTATCATTATTCATTCAGAACTTGGCAACTCGCTTAAGCAAATCTGAATTGATTATGAAGTTGAAGTTGCTCGAAAAAAGTGTTGGTCAGCAGTGGAACATTGAACTGTAGAACGGACAAAGTTGCATGGAAAAGAACATCCAGCCTGACTATAACTTTACCATGGGGTGATGGCTTCAGATTGCCAACACAAATGATTATGCTCATAAAACCATTCCATTCCGGTCTCTATTTAAACATACCTTCTCTCATAGAGGCAAATCGTTCCTTTAGTTTGTGGTCCACTCCTGGTCCAAATGCAAAATTGTTGACAAACACAATTCTGTACGAAACAAACAGAAATTAATTCATGGCACACCGGTGTAATCATTACAGTTCTGGCCCGGGTTGTTTGAAAGGTAGATAACGCAATCCAGCGGATAGCGCCGTTTGTTTTGTAAACACTTACAAACAACTGTAACATCAAATCCACAAGCCTAAGATCTAGTTAATAACAAAATAATAAAATTTGATTAAATGGTTAAACAAGCTACTGAAATAAATCTAGGCTATTTGCATCTCTTGAAGACTCTGGGAGAGTGTTCCACTCGTGTATCGCATGATAAGCCAGTCTTTGTTGCCCCCCACTTGGGTAAGGCAAATAATTTATTGCAGGAAACCTATGAAAAGTTGAGGGGTAGGCGATGATGGATGTATATTTACTGGTCTTCCCCTGAACCAAACCACTACACATGCAAATACACCAAGGATAACAGAACATTGTGCATATCAGAGTTCAATACTCACCCTGCAGACTGTATCTTTTCTCTCATCTTGTTGTCAAGGAAATCACCTTTTTCAAGCTGTCAACAGTAAAAGAATATTTTCTTTTAAGTTGTAGTGTAGTCTAAATAGTGAAGTGAAGTCTAAATCAACACTATTTGAGAGTAAGAAGAGGCTGCTAATTTTTCAACAGAGATCTTACATATGTAACAGTCCTCGATACATTATCATGTTATGGGAGCCAATTTTGGCATCACACAGGTCTTCTCTGTCACATAGTAGGTAGGTAAGGTTAAGTCTGTGTACAAGCCAAGCAGACCATCAGGCTTGAGCTTTTCCCAGTTTCTGTATCATGAAGCAACTAAGAATACTTTTACTCCTCCCTGGATGGAATGGTAGTCCATTGCAGGGTTACCCCCAGCGTTCGTCACACAGTGAGGTTCCACATTTCAGGGTTATTTTGCCCACCTTGTAAGGTTTGTGTGTTTTGCCAAACCAGCGCATCCATTTACGAAATTCCCTATCCATATCCTAAAAAATTAAACATGGTAGCAAAATTAATCAGATGGAAAAACAATAATGGGCAAAAACAGATAGACAGAGAACACTCGTGTTATAAAAATGTCAACTCATGAATCTATAATTTAAACAAATTACATGTCTTACTGGCCACAAAGTCTGAGTCAGGCCAGCGGCCTCTATAGCCAGAGTGACTAGGAGCATTTCTCCTACCCCTGGTTGGGATGTTTGTCTATCACAGGGTTACCTCCCAGCATTTAATTTGCTGGTACCCATATAAACACCCGGTGGAGAGAGACACTGTGAATGAGAGTAAAGTGTCTTGCCCAACACATGCAATAATAGATGTCTTTCAAAATGTCCTGATAAAAAAATAACCAATCTCCTACCCAGAACCTGCCTGTCTCTCGGTCAACACCAAGAACAGACTCTAACCAAGTCCGACATGGAAGTCAGACTCAATTCAACTTTGATCATTTCTATAGCCTTGGCCAAGTGCTGAGCAAAGAAAAGAGGGCCCTAGAGACAAGATTGAAAAACATCAATGAAAAATATTTACCTCAGCATATTTTGCCGGTATTTCTGCTTTTTCTATACCATAACACTCCTTCACATTTCCGGAAGCCGCAACTTGTAGCACCACCTGACCGACACCTAAATCAAACCACAGAGTATAAGTTAAATGTGAACATTATTTTGCTGTTGTATTTAACTGTAGTCTAATGTCTTAAAATGTTTTGATGTCAATAACAGTGTGCAAAGAATAATGGCACCTGTTGTGGCTGAGCATCCTTACAGGTGAACTTGCCTGTAGTTGATGCAATTCACCTATGGTTGACATATAGCCAGGGCTTATCCCAATTTTTGTAGCATAAAGCAACTAAGAGTATTTCTACTCCACCTGGATGGAGGGTTACCCCTCACATTAAATTCTTTGGTACCCATTTATACACCTGGGTGAAGATAGGCACTGTGGGTGTGAAGTGTCTTGCCCAAGAAAACAATACAATNTTTTGCTGTTGTATTTAACTGTAGTCTAATGTCTTAAAATGTTTTGATGTCAATAACAGTGTGCAAAGAAAACCAATAATGGCACCTGTTGTGGCTGAGCATCCTTACAGGTGAACTTGCCTGTAGTTGATGCAATTCACCTAGGTTGACATATAGCCAGGGCTTATCCCAATTTTTGTAGCATAAAGCAACTAGGAGTATTTCTACTCCACCTCGATGGAGGGTTACCCTTCACATTAAATTCTTTGGTACCCATTTATACACCTGGGTGAAGATAGGCACTGTGGGTGTGAAGTGCCTTGCCCAAGAAAACAATACAATGACCCTGGCCAGAGTTTGAACTCAAGACCGTTTGATTCGGAGTCAAGCGCATTAACCACTGGGCCACTCTGCCTCCACAACCATAAAGTTACCATGCATAAAAATTCAAGGCAAGACTTACCACTTCCCAGATCAATAAAAACGTCATTACGACTCATGGGAACTTCCTTTATCATTTGGGCCACGAGCTCAAATGATGTTTCACCATATACCTTAAATCAAAACAATATTGTTAAATTGAGTTAAATGCGAGTTCCAAGATGTCTGTAAAATAATTGATAGTCATGTAAAAGGTAACAGCTTGTTGAATTCAAAACTTTAGAGAAGCAACATGTCATTGAAAGGCACCATGATTTGCACCTTGACACTTAACAGCCTTGAAATTTATTGGATATACCAAAGGAAGGACTATAAAAGAGATCCTAAGCCTCTCAATCTCAAGATGTTCAAGACCAAGTCCAAACTTCAACTTACAAAATAACAGCACATTACAAAGGGAAGAATTCCATGGCTGTCACTTGAATGGTATTACATTAAGGTTACATCCACTGACTTACAGTCCACCAAACAGTACATGTGGCAGAATAAACAATGCTAATGAAAGTACTGCTCAGTAGCTTTCATTTGAATGGCCACACACTAGGGTTTCATCCACAGACTTAAAAGATGGAACCACCTTGTACCGTGTGATAAAGAGTACCACATGAAAGTACTGCTCTATAGCTTTCATTTTAATGGTAACACACTAGGGTTTCCTCCATAGACTTAAAGATAAAACCACCTTTTACAGCATAGTAAACAGTACCATGTACCAAAAGTACCGTTCAACAGCTTTCATTTGAATGAAAGACTTCAGTTACATGTAGATTTATCCTGAAGATGAAAGAATTAGGATAGTTTCCTAGTGTCACTCTTACCTCGGGAGAAAATGGCTCATAATCATTCAACTTATCAGGATCTTTAACAGAGTGACTGTAAACCTGCTGTATAATATGACGCAGAAGTTCTTGGGATGGCGGAACATTGATACATGTAGGAGGGGCACGGCCTTTCCACTGTCAAGGAAAATGGGAATAATACATGTATTTATTACAGTCAGATATGACAATGTTAATGCTCTTGCCAACATTACTGGTAGCTACAGGAATGTTTTTTCTTGAAACTGAGAAATTATATGTATACATGCATACCAGGGCTGTCAAGTATGGCCAAGTATGCTTGACGGGAGCTTGATGGGTCCTTGATATCACAGGAGAACTTGACTGTTGTTGATACAATTCTAAGGTTCTCAGAAGAATTTTTTACAGACGGACAGTTAATTAAGCATAACAGGTAGCGTAACGCGTCCATGAGCATGTCCCCTGGAAAATTTTGAACTTTTGCAGGTTGCCAAATGATCTCATGTATTTTGGGGGCCAAAGTGTTGTATTTAAAGGGGCTCAGTCACGGTTTGTGCATATTGAAAAGTTTAGCCTCAATTTTTCAAATTCGTCGTTTGTAATCGGTGTTAATCTTCTCCATCCTTAGCCATCCTTGTTCCTTTATGGTTTATCATTATCTCTTTTGTGTTTTTCTATCTTATTAAACTGTTATTTTCAGGTTTCCTACCATTGAAAGGTAATTTTGTATGTGGCCAAGATAACTCAAAATACCGTGACTGAGCCCTTTTAAGCACTTGATGAACTTATGGAAAACAAGTTGTTTATGAGCATAAAATTAGACATAGCACGTGTTTTCTGAATCAATAAAGTATGTAAACTTGCACACAAAAGAAAATGCTACTATCCAACTGACCAATTTCTAAATGAAATAATAGCATATATTATAACTCCATGGGGTGTCTGGAAAACCCGAATAGCGAATAGCGAATAGTCGCAAATAATGAATAGTCCCAAATAGTGTGAATAGTCTCCAATAGTGCGAATAGCGGTGAACAGTCGCAAAAAGTGGTGAATAGTGACGAAAAGTTGTCAATAGTCACCGCTTTAGATCTAATATCCTGCGTTAATTAACTATCCAAATAAGCAACAGAATCAGTGAATTTATTACCCTTTCTTCTCCGGACTCAGGCTAGGGCTGTCTATTGCCGACATTAAGAAAACAGAAAACACAAGGATAACCTAATAAAGATGTATTATGCTTTTGCAGTGGTTAAAACAGAAGAAATTACGTTTAGAAACACATTTTGTCCTGATAAGTGTCTGTGCTTTTTAGCGGGAGAATCCCATCCTTCGTTGCTTCATTCCTTTGAGATACTGGGTACCCTATTTGCTACGATTTGCCACTATTGGCCACTATTGGCCACTATTCGCACTATTCGCTATTGTGTAGTTCCAGAAAATATCCATACCTCCCCCACGGAAGGGATTTTTTCTAAGACCTCCCCACCCCTCTGGAAATTCCAATAAAGCTTCACACATTTCTTTAAATTTTTTGGTCTTAGAGACCTCCCACCCCCAGGAAATTCAAATCCCTTCTGTGGGGGGAGTATGGGTATTTTCTGGACCTGCACATTCGGGACTATTCGCTGTTCGCTATTCGCAACTATTCGCTATTCACTATTTGGGTTTTCCGGACACCCAACACCGTTTATCCAAACAGACGCCTACATTTGCCTTTACAGCTGGAAGAATTCTGCCGGCTGCTGGCTTCTACAGAGAACCCTGTAATTCACCCATAAAGTAACAAGTTTGTTACAGGTGTGAAGATCAAGGCTTCAGAATCAAAACTTAATCAAAACAGCCCTGCTATTTGAAATACTCCTGAATAATATGGACAATGACATTCTGAATTTGACCTTTTTATGGCATGATAGGGGCATTCCAGACCTTTGTGAAAAAAATTATGCTGCGTAGTAACAGGAAATGAGAACTTTCAAATTAGCTAATGTGAAAGCCTATCAAGTTCAAAATGGAAAACAAATTGAGAGTGATAACATTAGGTAACTTGGATAATTTGAGAATATTGTCTTCACTAAATTAAAGAAAACAATATTTGACTTCAGTTTTGGTTTAACACATCAATTAAGATAATATTCCACCAAAATGATACCGCTGAACGTAAATTTTATTGCTGCATGTCATATCGCCATGAAAAGTTTGCATATCAGAAACCCGGTGGAAATCTGTTCCTTTCACACAAACTGCCTCTGCATGCAAGCGTTAGGATTAAACTAGTGGATTTTTTAAATCAAAAATTAATATTTCAGCGACGGAATTGAAAATTTTCTCCTTCATCTGGTGTAAAGCCGCACAAACAGAAAAAATAATGACGGAAAACTCCGCCGAGCTGTAAATTTGATTATCGGCGACATTGTTTATATTCCCTTCCGGTATGTCGAGTATTGCATGCATGGACGGGACATGAACGAGTCCGTTTATGTGAAGCCATCCATAATTTCTCACAGAGAAAGGTGTTAAACAATGCTTAAGCAACCTTACTTATCAGACGAAAATAAATATAACTATACAGCAAATTCTAAATCACTCGCCGGATTTTCCACCTTAGCCCCGGCCCTGCCAAACATGGTTTTGATTTTGCCTCGGGCGAAGTAAAGAGTCTCATAGCGCATGGTGTTCAGAAATACTTACCAATTGTAAAATTCCATCGATCGCTCTGTTGTATCGTTCGCAGAGTTTGGACATGCTCTCAAAGCTGTAATCAAAACACGAGCAAAATAATACTGACATGAGAAATGCAAGCGAAAGCCATGGTATTTTTAGTACGACCATCACATGAATATTGTTAATTTCACCGTTGGGACACGAAACCCCAATTTGTAATGGTATACACGACTTAAACTAGATTACCTGCTCGGATCAAACTCACGAAGAACATAGTTCTCAACAGCGAGTTTCAGCTCTGGAAAATCAGCACACACCCATCTAAGACAGAAGTGCAGAAGACAAATTCTGTTAATCGTGTGGATGCCTGCAACCTGTTTGTATAACTTATTAAAAAGCAAGCTCGCTACAGTTCTTCATGTTCTGACACAGAAGAGAAAGTAGCTTTGCTGTCGCAAGTTACCTGATGGTCTCCACAATTTCTGCCGCCTCATCTCTGCCGTCCTAAAAGTTAAACAATCGGGCAAAGTTTCAGGCAAACACGAAAGACAAAATTGACCTAACACGAAGTCTCGAACTCAAAAATACAGCACCAGCGGCAAAACTCACCGATTTCTGTAGCGGCCACGTATATACAATAGCCTCTGCTCCAGCAGGACTGTGCAACTTTAACTCCAGAGCCATATCGTTCCGTAAGATGTTAATGTTATCCAAAATCCTTCACCAAAGACTGAAATCAAGACCCTAGCCTTCTCCAGACGCCATTTTTGTTGCCACCTCTCAAATCCGCGACCGCGCCATGAGACCCTCAGCTGCACGCGTCCGATCACATGTTATTTCTAAGCTTTCTGATTGGATAAAGGACGATAAAATAATTGTGGTATTGTTGTACACCTGTGGCAAGCAAAATTTAACAGCGACACGATTCGAGAGTTTGAAGCAGACGGGTTCTCGAGCGGAGTTTTTAACGTGAAAGTTAACACGTCAAACGACACGGAAGAACACCCTTCAGTTATTCACCGGCCAATTAAATATCCCGTGGAAATACGTCACGCACTTTCGCTTCCCGTTTCCGCCTGAACACATATTTCGTGACGCCTACGTCTTGACATGACATATTGCATGTTTGTTTTCCAACTATAGGAAGTTCAAGTTCACTTCGACAAAAACTGACATTTTCAGCTCTTTCTCAAGTGAAGGAGGGGTTAAGTCGTTCAAAACATTAATAAACTGTAAAAAGGCCAAAAAATGAATTATTTTCACGGCGATTTCAATGTTTCAGCTAAAGCCGGGGGCTAAGAACCCGTTGCCACAGGACGGAAAATGATAATTTACGACCACGGGGAACTTTAAGCACTTCTTTTTTCCGTCTTGAACCCACACGATCACGAAGGCAGACACAAGAAGTCCAATACAAATAGAAAATGAAAAAGAGATGTATTTTCGCCATCTCGGCTTCTAGTCGGCTTAGTGTTTTTCCAGTGTTTTCTGGTGTTTTTCACAGTAGGGTTTCGAAAAATTACAGTTATTATTGAGATTATTGTGTCAAGAAGTGGTCCTAAATGAAAAGCGAGCAGAAGTTCACGAATAGCAAACTCTGCTCGTGGCGATCACACGAGGCAATTATTTTTAAGGGCGGAAAACAAACGCAAGTTTATCCTGTGTAAACAGAATATGATTGGTTGAGAGCATTTCTGCCGTGTTCATAGAAGAAGGGGAAATATTTCCTTTTCGACAAACTGGAATAAAAGTTGTGTTCCAGTGTTTCTTCCGTTGTTAAATTTAGATCTGAACTGAAGCGTGCACTACATTTTGAATTACCAGTGTTTGGGGGCGATTCACGGCTACGTGAGTACGGTCGATAGAACCTTCCACTGTTTAATTTCGTAGAGGAAGATTAGTCTAGTGGGGCCATGTTTCCGAAGGAGGACATCAATTAGCGGAGGAAGTATTAGTATGAGCCGAGTTAAGTAATCTGTTAAAACCAACTATCTATGAAAAAAATAAATAAATAAAATGATAGAAAAACTTTATTTAAGTGTCAAACCATGTAGCCTGGGAGAAACCCATACTAACAAAGGGACACAGACTATTCTAAAATAACTGAGCGACTATGCGCGCTCTTATTGGGCGATAGGTTTGTTTGGATGGAGTATGTAACCATGCACGGTTGTGACGTTTTAGATTCGCGCGCATTTTTGAGAATTATTTTATAAAAGCAATAGAGCACTGTGTTTACATAGCCTCATCTAAACACTCGGGGGCTGGGAGAATTCTCGAAAGTTATTCAAACCCTCGACTACGTCTCGGGTTTGCATAACTGTCTCGAATTCTCCGAACCCTCCTCGTGTTTAGATGAGGCTATGTAAACACTATGTAAAAGTGTTCTATTGCTTAAATATAAAATACAAAACTGAGAAGACTAACATTTCTACACTAAAATGTGAATAATACAAAATGCAGTCTAACGTGTTTTAAAGATAAAGTTAAACATTATAGGTAATGTATCCACAGCTGATCTAATATAAAAAGTCTAGAATTTTTCTAATACGATTTAAGAGTGTCAGTGTTGAGTTGAGGATACAACCCTTGATGCAGCGAGCTTCTACTAACTTAGTTAGATCTCTGCCACGAATGCGCCTTTTAAGCTCATAAAGTGTTTTGGCCGATCTGTCATCCGTGGACAGTTTTCTCCATAATTATTTGGGTCCTAAATGTCGTAGTGAGTGCCTCGTTCCCAGGGTTGCCGGTCGTTTAGCCCCCAGGGCCCAAGTCGATTAATCGCCAGCCGGTTAGCCCCCAACCAGAAGTCGATTAGCTCCCATTTACGCTTGAAATAGACAGTGTTTTCGATTTTTGGTTGGGGGCTAATCGACTTGAGGGCTAGACGACCGGTTACCTGTCCCCAGGGCTGGGGCCGCCATTTAGTGAAACATGGTGTTTGCCGTAAAAGATCGTCGTTAAAACAACGGCCATTTTATACAATGTTGCTAGTCTATAGTATAAACGTGCCTGACAAACGAGTTAACTGATTAATTCAAGGCAGAGGATTTTCCGAAAAGGATCCTCGACCTCGTTGGTTAGTTGGAACCGACGGAAACTAAACCAATCAAGTCTCTCGCACCCAGGCGCACTCGGCCTACGCGTAATTCTCCTTTGCGATCGGTCAATTTCGTCGAGAAGTCTCTTGAATTGAGCAATGCGCGCGAATTTTGCCGGGTGTGTCCGATCTGACTTAAATATAAGTACCTATGAAATCAAAAATAATTGCTACTACTTGAAAGGCTTTTCAAAAAACATGGGTTCATGATGAAGTTTGTCGAATTCTCTCTGAGGAATGAAGTTCAAATTCATGCTCACAAATTCTTTCTTTTATTCAAACACTGGTGAATAAAATATCATACACTGCAGTCTTGGTAAATGTTATATAAAAAATTGACACATTCTCTGGCGCTATTCCGGTAATGGAAAATTGCAAAAATGCCGCGTTTTGGTTTAATGTTAAATTCATTCTTGATACGGTCAGAGAAAACTAACAGAACTAGTGTTGTAATCACGTATGTAAATGTGTGTTGAAAGTAAATGCAAATAAAGTTTCGTTTTCAATACAATGATGATTCAATACAAGAAACTAAAAAATACTCTCCTTAACGAAACCTTGACTGCGAACCATATATAACTACTCTGATCTCATGGTCGAAGTGTCTTCCCGAAATCACCTTGCGCACCGCGAAAATTTTACCCTAGACCACTTTGCGCCGCTCAATGACAATTTCCAACAGGCCATCAATATTCTAACAGGGTTCCGAGGCTTTCGGGACAAACGTCTGTAATTAGTGGTGTTTTCTTTGTATCAAAGTGTCTTTTGAGAATTGAGGGACAAAAGGACCTTAAAAAATTTGCAATTTTGACCTGAAAGCCTCGGAGCCATGTTAGCATATTGATATGTCGAACGTGGCCCATTCCAAGATGTATCTCTATGGGCCGAAAGTTGCGGGGCGAAAAGACCAATGATGACAGACCAAGGAAAATTATCAGCTGTATTTATTATAGACTAAGCGTGGAGGTCTATATGTAGAAATATTAATTGGCTTCTGTAAATATCGACAAAGCGTGGAAGACAGTCCAGGTGTGCAAATATTGTCCAGCTGTATCGGCCGGGGAGAGTTATTTTGTTGACGTGGGCCGGTGCCAGCTGACTGAATAATAAAGGCACCCCTACTTGTTTGTTTATTTTATTATAATTATTTTTTTCCATTTATAAATATATTTACAAAATATCAACGTATAAGGCAAGGAAGGCCAGGTAAGTCAATAAGGCTTATGTAAAGGACTACCTTAAATATACCCAAGACTTAATAACAAAAGAATTAAAAAATTGCCAAAAATTATATTAAAAAATTCCATTTATACTACATTTATGAAATATCAATGTATAAGGCAAGGAAGCCCAGGGAAGCCACTAAGGCTTACGTAAAGGACTACCTTCAATATACCTAAGACTTAAAAAGCGAAGAAAATTGCTGTCATCTGTACACAAAAATTGATCATAATTTAGGATAAACAGTAGTTAAGCAAAGCTAAATGCACAAATGCGCAAAAGCAAAGGAAGACAAAAAAAAAGCGAAAGCTCACACAATCATACTAACAGAAATAAAATATACTTACACCAAGAAAGATGACGTAAGTTTACAGATGAACACAGCAATACTAGAGGCATTTTGAATTTCAG